TCCTCTGGGGAGCCTGGGAGCACGATAGAGGGTGTCAGGATGGAGAGCGGGAGCAGACAGAGGAAAGTCTGTTCCCTGATTCACTCTCTTGAATTGTCCTGATCACCTGGGAAGGAAAGAAGGGAAAATCCAAGCTTCAGGTTTGCCACCACAACAGGAATAGAGGGAAAATCTTCCAAACCCTTGTTCTTGTGACTATTGTCTAGGAGGGGATTTCTCTCACATTGGAAAGATATTCTCTCACTTATTGAGTCTACAAGACAGGAAGTGAATGGGAATCTCCCTAATGGGAAGGAGGTGACAAAACAAACTGACAATGGCTTTAACCGTCCTCTACTCCATCCAAAATGAAAACATGTTTTGACTTTAAATATACTTTAACTCCAACCGTGAGAGTGACCTCCTGCCTGTCTTGCCTAGCAGAGGTATATAATATTGACACAATTGGCTGCACAGAGGAATAAAAAACACCCCTGAGAGATGCACCGTTACCGAGTATTTGGGCGAGTAATTGTACTTGCCCAAATGCTCCGATGCCTAGCCCGATACTTCCTCTATCAGGAAGCCGGGCAACGCATCATTACACGCTGCCCGGCTTCCTGGCTCCATGCTCCCTCATTACTTGTGACGAGGGAGCATGGAACCGGCTTCCCGGCAATTCAGGAAGCCGGGCAGCGTGTAATGACACATTGCCCGGCTTTCTGATTGGCCGGGAAGCCGACTTCATGCTCCCTCAACACATAGTGACAAGAAGCATGGGGACGGCTTCATTGTTAATCGGGAAGCCAGGTGGCGAGTCTTTACACGCTGCCCGGCTAATCAGGAAGCCAGGTGGCCAGTCATTACACGCCACCTGGCTTCCTGAATGGGACTTCCTATACTTGCTATTCGGTATCGGCGAGTACTAAAAAAAAAAATTATCGGTACCGAAATACCGGTATCGGTGCATGCCTAATATTCCCTAGTTCTATCCCACTCCTAATAATCATATCCATCTTGACATTCGTAAACTTACTTATTGAAGATGCTCATAGGATGTACTTCCTCAATGCACTGACACAGGTTCACTCAGCGAATATGTTCACTTTGTGAATATGCACTTTGTGTCACCACTCACAGAGCCTGCCTTCCAAACTACAACGTCTGACCAATGTAACATTATCATTGCTTGCTGGAGGCAATGCATAATGGGATATGTAGTCTTGAGAAATGGAGATTGCATCACATCAAGCAGCAGGGAAAGAGATGCAAAGCACACTGGGAATCCAGGAAGTTGTTGGAAGTGACGGTCAGA